AGGCTATCATATCACCTCTTAACAATCTCTTCTCCAGGCTAAACATACATTGTTTAGCATTGTATATTTAGCAGTCATGTTTGTTTGTTTTAACTTAACTCTTGGTTTAATCTTGTTTTAAGGGGTGGGTGGGTATATTTGGAGGGAGGGAATTGTGTTTTAACTGTACTATTTTAAATTGCTGTAACCCGCCTCGATTGCCTAGCAGAGAGGCGGGCTAAAAATAAAATTTATTATTATTATTATTATTATTATTATTATTATTGTAAAGTAATGCTGCCAATCTCATCCTACAAAGGTAGCCCAGAAGGATACCATAGTCAATAGTATCAATAGCCACCAAGAAGTCAGCAGGACCTACAGGGGCTTCCTGACCCCCGTCCAGTTCCCAGCATAGATCATCTATCAAGGTGCTCAAAGCTGTCTCTATCCCATAACCACATTTTGCTCACTTTTTTATGTTTTTAATTTGTATTGTGGTTTTAATTTGTAAGCTACTATGTGTCCCAATTTTGGGAGGAAATGGGAAATAATAATAATAATAATAATAATAATAATAATAATAATAATAATAACAACAACAACAACAACAACAACAACAATAACAACAACAACAATAAGCAGCAGCAGCAACCAGGATTGAAGCCAGATTGAAACAGACCTATATAATTCATTTCATTTTGTAACCCCTAGAGCTGGGAGGCCATGCCACTTTCCCAAAATGTAGCCCAGAAAGGGATATTGGAGACTGGTCAGTAGTTATCCAATATGATGGGTTCATGGAAGGTTTTTCAGCAAAGGCTTCTTGCAATTAGAATTTGTGGCTAGGCCAGTTCCATCTTGACAAGAAGTGAGGGGGGAGGGACAATTCCAGTTTAGGGGAAAATGCAAGGTGTTTCACTAAACTAAGATTTATGGCAAGGGTAGGCAATCTTTTTGAGCCAGGGGCCGGTCCTCCAAAGTCCTCCCCTCCACCGGGCCAGGGGGGGAGGAATGGCATGTGAACCCCCTAGCTACCACGCGCGACCCCCCCGTGAGCGCTGCCACTGCCGCCGCCACCGCCACCGCCACCGCCACAGCCACCGCGGCATGCATGGCCGCAGCTGCCTCCACGCATGTCATGGCTGCCATTTTGATTTCTAAAATGGCAGCCATGACGCATTTGCGCATGCGCAGGAGTACTGCACATGCGCAAACGAGTCGCGGCCGCCATTTTGGAAATCAAAATGGTGGCTGCCACTTGCGACCACCATTTTGATTCCCAAAATGGTGGCTGCGACTCGTTTGCGCATGCGCAGTACTCCTGTGCATGTGTAAACGCTTCGTGGCTGCCATTTTGGAAATCAAAATGGCGGCCGCAGCGCGCGCCGCTGCATAATGGCCAAAACGTGTGGCGGTGGTGGCGTGCGGAAGGGGTCCGCCTGGGCTGGTAAGTGCGGGGTCCTGGGCCGGAACTGGCCCGGGGGCCGTAGGTTGCCAGCCCCTGGTTTATGGGGATGTAGGACCTGCTAGAGATGGGATTCTTCCATTTCTTGGGGAATAACTATGAAAATATTTGGCCAAGATCCTGCATGGGGCATGTAAATACAATATTGCAGCTCTCACATTCCAATCTCCTAAAACCCACCTTAAAAGCCAGGCAGCCATACTGCTC